GGCCATGAACTCCCAAGCCACCTGCAACCCCATGCACATGGAAGGCAGATTAAAATTCAGTACCATCAGCCTGAGAAATTCTATCACCAACTATCCACAGCAAAGTTAGGGGGCACTATGCAGCAGGGAGGCTGGTTCAAGTAGTGGCAATCCCATGTGTTCCCTAGAGCCCAACCTCTCCAGCACAGTCTCACAACCATGTTATCTATGGGGCAGTGCCTCTGAAAGCTGCTAGGGTTTTTTGGATGACTATAGCCACTCCACCAGCTCTGTTGGGGTGGGGCTGTTGCCACAGTTGAAATCCATGCCTAGCAAAGTCAGCCCTGTCATCCACTGTTAAGTCATGCATCCATGATTTAATGTCATGGTTGCCTGCCCTGACATTCAGTAGTAGCTGCTGAAACTCAAGCATCGGGACCAAGTGTAGGGAATGGAAACATGGAATCAGTATAACACACTGAGAACACCTTCCCTAAGAACACCCTGCCCGTCTCCCATCATATGTTCTAAAGTTATGGTTGTCTCCATCAGAATCCTCAACTATAAAATTATATTGGAAGATAGCTATATTTTTCTGGTAATTTACACCCAAATAAAATATTCTGTACTCCTTTGGTAAAAATGGCCACAAGGTACTCATGTAAAATTATTGCAAGTTAATGAAAATATAGCTGGAATACCCTGGATTTTGTAGAAGTTCAAGGAAACTATAAACAGAAGGGACTGTCATAAACCAGTAATTTTATTGCATTTATTTGCATTAATATTGCATTGATTTGCAGTAATTGCATTTGAACACGAACAGGTATTGTTGGCCATGTCCATTACAAACTGGGCCTTTTGCAAACCCTTAAAAGTGAATACCAATTGTTTTTTAAGTCCAGCAAAATGCCTGAATTATCTACACAATAATCCTACTGCTTTGTTTCATAGTAGATAACAGTCGGAAACCATAGGAAACTTGCTGAATGTGGTCGCTGCTTAAAAGGTTGAGCAGGTCATCACTTTGATAGGAAACACTTAAAAAAATAAGGACATAATTGTAATGTTTGCTGAGGCAATTTTCATAAGTTTGTCATTAAGAAAGCATATTACCAATGCCGGAAATGAGGCTTTTGCTTGAAGAACTAATTACAAAGTAGATTACTATTTGAAATATCCTTTGAATTACTTGTTCTGTTCATACAGTTATGCAATTATGTTCCACAATCTTTCTTCATTTTTAATAATGCTTTTCAAAAATGGATAACAATGACCTGTAAGTACTTGCTCCATAATATCCCGCTTTTCTGTTGTTCTGGATAATATTCAGCACAATATTGTCAATGGATTTCACTCTTTTAAAGATGAATGCATTTATTTTACCAGCATCTCCTTCTGGTGATATATCATTAACTGCTCTCGTCTGTTGCTGTCTGGTAGAGTGAATGCCTGAAATTGCTTATAAGAATTATTGTAATATAAGTAATTATGGATCATTATCACCTCAGGCAATTTCTAAACAACAGGAATATATATGTAGTAAGATAGGTTTTATATACAGATGTCAATTTTAGTGGAATTGAATTCACCTTCCACTATGTCTGCTACAAATGTTACTGTCCCTTGAGTATGCCTTTTCTTGATAATTGTTCAGATATATTCTTTCATCGCTTGTTATTTGCAGAAAATTCCCATCTGCTTTCCGTCTATGACACAGGGCTATAAACATTCAGACAGAAGTCAGTGACTCCCATGGGGTTTCATCCAGACAAATGGGATCAGACCTGCAGCCATATTCTTTGATACAATTCAGCCTTTGATCATTTTCCTGAATGATAGTTCTACGTTTTAATGGCAATCTAGGGATATTTGTGATTCTGCTTTTCTCTTTTGCAGGGTGGTGAAACTCACAAACCTGGATATGGCAGTGGCAAATTCTATGAGCATAAATATGCTCACAAGGGGCACAAAGGATACCACCATGATGGCCAGGGCACACTGTCTAAATTGTTTAAACTGGTAAACCTAATAATAATTCTAACTGCAGCAAAAGTACCAACATTGTACAGGGATGAGAAACTATTCCCTAGCTACTGGTTATATATATTGCATTCATTTAAGTAGTACAGGGAGTAGTCTTAATCATTTGTCCAAAAGATCAGAAAGAGGACAGTGAGTGTTTAGAAGTCTGATAATAGATCTAAACTAAGGTAAATATCTCTATTAGTACCAGTCCAAAGGAATCACCCAAGCAGAGAGTGATACAAATAATACAAAACCCAATAGGAGTCATTGCACAACTCAACACAGGAAAAAGTGATGTCAGGGCCATGAATTAATACTGAGGTTTGTGCCAACTCCAAGTTAAGTATTCATAGAGTAAAACAAAGAGCTTTAGAAACTTCTAGTTTAGTAATTTTGTTTCAGATGCAGATAAAATGAGAGTAGACTCAAACTTGGGACTCCCCCATGCCAGTCCAACTCCTGAACCATGACTCCATATTAGCTGTAGACCTCTCTTAGGCATGAAAGCTGGCCCCAGAGAGTGACTTTGGGCCCATCACTCTCTGTCAGGCCAATCTACCTCCCAGGATTGTTCTAATGGAGGAAATAAGTGCTTCAATGTTGATCTAATTGTCATGTTTTTCAGATTTAATAGTTGATATGATCATTAGAGTTTTACTTTGATTGGTTTTATGATTATAAATATCATATCATAGTGAACCTTCAAAGAGTGGGCAAATAATGATTTGCCATACTACACAAAATTAAACATTTATAACAACAATTTTATCACAACAACTTTAAAATCTTTTCTAACAATGCTTTTGGCAGTGTTAATCCATTTGTATTTATATTGATGGGATATTTTGGAAATTATCTTTCAGGGTCCAGATTATATGATTTTCTGAGATTTTACTGAGAAAAAAAATGAACACCTACTTCATACTGTCAGGAATTAGGTCTTCAAAATTATGTGACGTAACATGTGGAATGAAGTTCCACTAAAATAAATAGTGCTTTGAAGTACACGTGGAGAAATACTCCATTCTCTTTTAAAAGGATTTTATTATTATTTTCTTATTTTCTTCAGTTTTAAGTACTTCAGTTTTCTTCAGTTTAACACTGTTCACAGCAGCTACACACAAGTATACAAACGTTATTTAAATTTGTAAACCATTAAGGTTTCACTGTTAAATTAGCCGAGTGTTTCTCCCAACATTTCGGTTGACAATCTCACAACCCTCTATCATTGGCCGTTCTCCTTAGAGAAGGTAAACATTCATCCAAAATAACTAGACAGAGTCAGTTTTGTCTATGTTCAAATTAGGCAAGTATTTTCTCCTAATAAATTTTATTTATCTATTTATTTATAAACAATTTTATTCTTTTATTTTACTCGGTGTTCCCATAACCAAGAAACATTCCCTCCAACCCATTCCTACGCATCAGCAAAAATGCAGGTTTATTTTCTACAGTAGCTTAGCATGACATGGTACCCATTATTATATATTATCCAATATTTTTTTTTTAACCCCTAGTTCCTAAAACCAGAACTAATTCAAGGAGAGCTTCTATGGCAAGTAATGGATTTAATAGGTCTACAATAACACAGAAATCAGTGATTCAGGGAACATAATTAATAAGCCATTAAGCATAATTACAGTACTCTGTCATTTATGAAACTAAGCAATAATGTTGTGGCTGGGTAGTCTGAGATTAAAAATGAACAGGGAAATATTGAAATAAGGTAGTGCAGTGCTCGCTGAATCATCAAGTAATTATGGAAGCACAAATTTTAAAAGGCTAAGAAATACACTGGGCAACAGGATATAGACAGAAGCGTGTATTTAAAAACTGAAAAAGCAAGTTTGAAAAAGGTCCCTTAATATTGGGAATCCTTTAAATCAATCTGATAGTTAGCTGTCTAGCTAAATCTTCTGTATCTTTTTGGTTCCTGCCTTCTTTCTGCAGCTGTGCTAGAACTGCAAGAATAAGGAAGGGAGAGGCTGGAATGTTAATCCTGGAAGGGCTCTCCTGCAAGAAACCGAACTATCAAAGAGGGTGAAAGTACTCAAAACATGAATTCAATTTCAGGGAGTATTCTGGGCTTCTCAGAGCTGCCTTGATTTTCCCTATATTTTGAGGAAGAGGAGGTGGGAAGGTTTTGTTTCTGCAATATCCAGCGAGGGTAGGAAGCTAAATGACAACATTCGATGGGTGCTGGGAACATGTCAAAATGTGGGATTTGCTGATTTATTTCTCTTTCCCACCTTTATGAGCATAGGCAAAATATACATCAGAGAGTTACAAACACAGCAAATATGAATTATTCTTGCAAATTAAAGTACTGTTTACTCATAGTTGTGAATGTTTGTTGAAAACCTGGAGTTCTAGGCAAACATAAGAGTTAACACTGTACTTAAAAAAAAAAAAAATAGTCTTATTGGTTTTTCTAGCTATACCAGATTATCCATATGAACTAAATAGAAAATACCTGTAATGCTTTTTTTATCTACCATCTTATTTCAATAAGCTCAGAATAACTGACAAATTGCTAATCAAAATTGAAAATAAAATGTTAAAACGCAGCACATTTGATAATCAACATGGTATCCTAAAATTCAGTTCAATAATTGCTATTCTCTATCCCTTCTTTATCCAAAATATCATCCCGATTTTCAGGGTTCTATTGGTGGCTGCTAATACTCAGAACGGGAATGCAAAGAATGTAAACGTACAATGGC